TGCGAACGGGGGTAGTATGGGCATCGTGGGACAGGTGGACGCTAACATTTCTATCGGGGGTGTCTCGGCCTCGGGCGTTGTGTTAATTTCAAGGTCCCTGGCGGTTCCTTGCCTGTTGGGTACGGATTTTTTGGCTAAGATGCCCATTCTAATTAGAATCAATGAAAATTGCATTGAACTACCAGGGGGCCGGAAATTGGCGTTCTTACAGTCCGCCTGGGGGCGACCGGCTCCGGTTGCCCAGGTGCAGGCGTTATCGGAAGTTTCGGTTGATATTCCACCTGGCTCTCAGATGCTCATTCCCTTACGATACCGGAAGCCGGTTCCGGGTCGGCAGGGTGCGTTTGGGATTTTGCTGTCGCCGTCCGCCGCTGTTACGGGCGGACTAGCACTGGTGGGGGCGCAAACTATTGTCCGTCCAGATCAGCGCCCGTTTTTGCAGGTGTTAAATGCGAGTACTGAAAGTGTGTGTGTGCCGGCTGGTACCGTTGTGGCACACGCCACTACGGCGTTTACGGCTCAGAGTGACCTGCCGGACGGGGGGCTGGTGGGTGGTGTTTCACACGATGGAAGGGTGGATGATCGTTGGATCGCCGAATTATGTGGGGAAAATTCGGCCCTTTCCGCCGAGCAGCGTTGTGCAATTCATAAATTATTATCGAGCTATTCCGATGTGTTTAGCTCGGACGATTTGGACTTGGGACGCACCTCGCTGCTCTCTCATCATATCGACACGGGGGACGCTGCCCCTATCCGCTTGAACTCGCGTCGGATGAGTCCGGCTGAGCGTGAGCATGTTCGAGGGGCAGTGGAAGACATGTTGAAGGCGGATATTATATCTCCGTCTAATAGCCCGTGGGGCGCGCCTGTTGTGTTGGTTAAAAAAAAGGATGGTAAATTGCGATTTTGTGTGGATTTTCGGAAGTTGAATAAAGTGTCGGTGGCAGATGCGTATCCCCTGCCGCGTATGGACGATTCTCTCGACGCCTTGTCAGGGGCTAAGTTTTTTTCAACGCTTGATCTCTCTTCGGGCTTCTGGCAGCTCCCCCTTGACGAGCCTTCGCGGGAAAAAACAGCTTTCCGTACGCCACAGGGGTTATTCCAATTTAATTGTCTGCCGATGGGGTTGAATGCAGCCCCTGCCACTTTTCAGAGATTGATGGAGTTGGTATTGACGGGGTTGCAGTGGGAGACATGTCTCATTTATTTAGATGATATTATTGTCTTCAGCCGCACATTTGATGAGCATTTACTGCGGTTGGAGGCTGTATTTGCCAGAATGCGTTCTGCTAATTTGAAATTCAAGCCTAAGAAATGTCATCTACTGCAACGCTCCGTTCGGTACTTGGGACACATTGTTAGTGCGGACGGGGTGGCCACGGACCCAGAGAAAACTGCGTGTGTCCGGGATTGGGCAACCCCGGCCACGGTGGGTGATGTGCGTCGGTTTTTGGGGTTCGCCTCATATTATCGGAGGTTCGTTCCGAATTTCGCTACTATCGCCAGGCCTTTGCATCTCCTTACTGGGAAGGGGCATAAATTTGTGTGGGGACCGCCGGAGGAGGCGGCGTTTCGGAGCCTGCGCGATTTACTGGCTACTGCACCGACGTTGGATTATCCGGATTTTGAACATCCCTTCATTCTGGATACTGATGCGAGTGACACTGGTATTGGGGCGGTGTTGTCCCAGTCAAAAGGTGGTGTTGAGCGTGTGGTGGCGTATGGGAGTCGAGTTTTGTCTCCCGCGGAAACCCGTTACTGCGTCACTCGCAGAGAACTTTTGGCTATCGTGTTTTTTCTCCGCCAATTTCGACCGTATCTGTACGGTCGGTCGTTTATTGTCCGCACGGACCATGCGGCCTTGCAATACGCTCTTAAGATGGACCAGCCATCCGGACAATTGGCGAGATGGCTGGACACGTTGCAAGAGTTTTCCTTCCAAATTCACCATCGGAAGGGTGTGCGTCACGCTAACGCGGACGCACTGTCCAGGTTGCCACAACAATCCCCTTGTGCGTGTGCGTCGGGGACGCATAGGTGTGGACCGACTCAGCTCCCCCCTCAGCCTGTCGCGCTGGCGGTGGATGTTCTCGAAACTCCGCTTACACCGGGACCGGTTGACGGGGGACCGGCGGACGGGATTTTGCGTCTTCCGAGGTCTGTGTGGATTCGGGAGCAAATGTTGGACGATTCTTTGGTGTCGTTACGAAAACGAACGGAGAAGGCGGGTAAGGAACTCGGTGCGGGTGGTATTTCCGAAACTGCTCTCCGAGATGGGTTACTGATGTGGAGGGAAGGGATACAGGAACACTGGCGTCTCGTTGTGCCTGCGTCATTGCGGTACGAGTTGATTAGATCGTTGCACTGTGACACACTTTTACATCTGGGGGTGCAGAAAACCCTATTGACGCTGCAACGAGACTATTATTGGCACGGCATGACGACGGATGTCGTCGGTCACGTTCGCGCGTGTCCCGATTGTGCCCGCCGTAAACCGCCTAAACATCCATATGTTCCGCCGATACAATCGATTCAAGTATCTCGGGTTAATGAGCTAGTGGCGTTAGATATCTTGGGACCCTTTCCGCCATCCGCTAAGGGAAATAAGTATTTACTGGTGGGGGTGGAGTACCTCTCTCGCTGGCCGATGGCCTGGCCTTTGCCTGACCAGTCAGCGGCGTCTATCACTGACGCCTTTCTATTTGGGTATGTAATGGACAAGGGGGCGCCGGAGAGGCTCCTTACAGATCAAGGGCGTAACTTTTCGTCCAAATTGTTGGGGGAGGTGTGTGCGGCTTTTGGAACTAAAAAGATACGGACGTCCCCCTACCACCCACAAACGGATGGGATGGTGGAACGGTTGAATCGGACTCTGTCCGCCATGCTGTGCCATACAGTCGGGGAAAATCAATCTGATTGGGATTTGCATATCCCTGGGGTGCTTTCGGCGTATCGCATGACGCCGCACGCGGCTACTGGATACTCACCGTTCTTCCTTATGTACGGCCATGAGAATGTGCCGCCGATTAATGAGCAGTTGGGAACCGGTGCGAGGGGACCTGTTAAGCCTCTTCCTGAGTATATTCAGGACAACGTTCGCCGTGTCACTGAGGCGAGGGAAAGAGCCCGCATGGCTACAGCCAAAGCTCAGTCCAGGAATGAGCGGTGTGCCCGACGTTCGAAGGGGGAGTGCCCCTGGAAGAAGGGGGACCTGGCCTGGCTTCATTGCCCACAGGTGCGGCCAGGTACCTCTCCTAAATTACACAAACCGTGGCAAGGTCCGGTCCGCCTCATTGAGGTTCCCAACCCACAGTCGGCGCGTGTTCAGGTTGGTTCGCGGCGCTGGTTCGTGCATACATCCCGGTTGAAGCCATACATTGCCCCGCGGCCGGATGCGTCATCTCCCGAAGTTGCCTTGCCGGGGTCTGTTGCTGCCGACTCGCCCTTGCCTGTGTCTGCTGACCTTGCGAGAGCGCCTGTCGTACCCTTCACAGACAAGCCGGCCGTGACAGCGCAGGGAGGAGGACGTTCCGCTCGTGGGATGCCGACCGGAGCCGCAGAACCCACGGGACCTGCAGCTCTTCCTATCCCTCCGCGGACGCGAGTACGGGATGTCTCTGGACGCGACCGGAACAGTGGTGGGCCTCCAATGGCGACGGACGAACTTGTTCCCGTCGCCCCTAAAACCCTTCCACGTTCCCGCTCGGCGGGTGGGCTGCCGACTGTTCGGGACGGCCCGGCTACCCGTACTCGCTCGAAATCCCTCACGTTTCGTTAAAATTGTATTGTGTTGTGTTCTGGTTATATTGTTGTTGCATGCTTCGTGTCTTTTTACGTGTTGGCCCTTTACACCCGCATTTCTTGTCAGGTTGCAATTCAGCCGAGGTCGGCTGGATTTTCTTTATGGGGGAGGGTGATGTAATGCGGGCGTAAACGGCCCTCCGGAGGTGACGTCAGGAGGGGAGGAGTTAGGTCACGTGGGGGGGTGAGGGGTTAGGCTATAGAAGGAGGGGAACCGGAAGAGGACGGGGAGTGACGGGGAACCAGGAACAGAGAGAGGCCACGAAGGGCGAAGCGGAGGGTGGCGAGATCACCACGAACACGGGGGAGCGAGGATCGGCACCGTTGGCCAGCGGTGACCGACCCGAAGCAGCGAGGAGGCTGCAGTCAGCAGCGGGGCTGCACAGAGAGTCAGCGGCGGGGCTGCATACAGAGTCAGCAGCGGGTCTGCATACGGTAGCAGCCAGAGGGTCTGCATATAGGGATAGCAGCAGGAGTCTGCATAGGGGTAGCAGCGAGTCTGCAGGGAGAGAACAGAGGTTACAGTAGATGAAGCAGAGAGTCTGCGGGGAGAGAAGGGAAGCTATAATAGCAGTCAACAGCCGGGGGCTACAAATACAGAGTTATAACAGAGTGCCGTGTGGGAGAAGACAAGAACCCAATAAAGGACACGAAGACAGAAAGAAGTGTCTGAGTCCTTTTATTACATATATAAGAACCACTGGTTTGTATATAAGAACCACCACTGGTTTATATATATGAACCACTGGTATATCTATATATATAAAATCGCGAATCTGTCTGTCTATCTGTCTGTCTGTGTGTGTGTCTGTGTGTCGCCGGACCATACGCAGTTTCATTGGACGGCGGTTGCCCCTGGCAACGGGTAGCGACGCCTTCGCCGCTTTCATTGGACGGCGGTTGCCCCTGGCAACGGGTAGCGACGCCTTCGCCGCGGGGTGGACGCCATTTTTAATTCCCGTTAAAAATAGGCGCACACATTAACACGCGACTCTGAGGTAAATTCATCAAAGTTTCACGTCCTCTTCACTCCCCCCCCACCACAATGTGTGCAATTACTATTATAGGGTCGGTAGATTATAAAATTATAGCGATTAGACAGTATTATTGTAGCGCGGGGGGGGGGGGGGGGTAACGGCACCCGTACCCAGCCTCAGCCGGGTGGGCAATTTAGGCGAGGCCGGAGGCTCTGCACGGCGCTAGGCCCCGACACCCACCACGCGACTCTGAGGTAAATTCATCAAAGTTTCACGTCCTCTACAGAGTGGTGAGGGAGGGAGAGTGGTGAGGGAGGGAGAGTGGTGAGGGAGGGAGAGTGGTGAGGGAGGGAGAGTGGTGAGGGAGGGAGAGTGGTGAGGGAGGGAGAGTGGTGAGGGAGGGAGAGTGCTGAGGGAGGGAGAGTGCTGAGGGAGGGAGAGTGCTGAGGGAGGGAGAGTGCTGAGGGAGGGAGAGTGGTGAGGGAGGGAGAGTGGTGAGGGAGGGAGAGTGGTGAGGGAGGGAGAGTGGTGAGGGAGGGAGAGTGGTGAGGGAGAGAGAGTGGTGAGGGAGGGAGAGAGAGTGCTGAGGGAGGGAGAGTGCTGAGGGAGGGAGAGTGGTGAGGGAGGGAGAGCGGTGAGGGAGGGACTCAGCCTCAAAACGAGTAACTGGTGTGGCGTATTAACATCGATACTGGGGAGACAAAGGCGGCCGGGCGTGGTGGATACAAGTCCCGGGCGAAGCCGGGTAGTACAGCTAGTTTATATAGATAAGAACCACCACGGGTGTATGTTCCCGTGAGCCGCACTGCCCGCGGCTGGGCAGGGCGAGAGGCGTGGGGGGGGGGGGGGGGGGCCCTCCTCACCGTCCAGCACGCGTTGCCCAGGTCGGCGATCTTGACGCGCACATGGCGAGCGTGAGACGCCTCCAGCAGGTTCAGCACCGGGCGGGCTGCACCAGCCGCAGCATCAGCAGCAGCGGCAGGAGCAGCAGCAGGAGCAGCAGCAGGGAGGACGCCCCGCGCGGAGACGCAGCAGGAATACAGGGGGGGGAGAGGGAGGGAGGGAGGAGGGACAGATTCGGGCGTGACTGGGACGACGGTGGTAGCGGTGATGGTGGTGATGATTCACATTGCCTATAGACTAACATTGCCCATAGACTAACATTGCCCATAGACTAACATTGCCCATAGACTAACATTGCCCATAGACTAACATTGTCCATAGACTAACACTGCCCATAGACTAACATTTCCCATAGACTAACATTGTCCATAGACTCACACTGCCCATAGACTAACATTGCCCATAGACTAACATTGCCCATAGACTCACAATGTCCATAGACTAACATTGCCCATAGACTAACATTGCCCATAGACTAACATTGCCCATAGACTAACACTGCCCATAGACTAACATTGCCCATAGACTAACATTGCCCATAGACTCACAATGTCCATAGACTAACATTGCCCATAGACTAACACTGCCCATAGACTCACATTGCCCATAGACTAACATTGCCCATAGACTAGCATTGCCCATAGACTAACATTGCACATAGACTAACATTGCCCACAGACTCATATTGCCCATAGACTAACATTGCCCATAGACTAACACTGCCCATAGACTCACAATGTCCATAGACTAACATTGCCCATAGACTAACACTGCCCATAGACTCACATTGCCCATAGACTAACATTGCCCATAGACTAACATTGCACATAGACTAACACTGCCCATAGACTAACATTGCCCATAGACTAACATTGCCCATAGACTAACATTGCCCATAGACTCACATTGCCCATAGACTAACATTGCCCATAGACTAACATTGCCCATAGACTAACATTGCCCATAGACTAACATTACCCATAGACTAACACTGCCCATAGACTAACATTGCCCATAGACTAACATTGCACGTAGACTAACACTGCCCATAGACTAACATTGCCCATAGACTAACATTGCCCATAGACTAACACTGCCCATAGACTCACATTGCCCATAGACTAACATTGCCCATAGACTAACATTGCCCATAGACTAACATTGCCCATAGACTAACACTGCCCATAGACTAACACTGCCCATAGACTCACAATGTCCATAGACTAACATTGCCCATAGACTAACACTGCCCATAGACTCACATTGCCCATAGACTAACATTGCCCACAGACTCACATTGCCCATAGACTAACATTGCCCATAGACTAACATTGCCCATAGACTAGCATTGCCCATAGACTAACACTGTCCATAGACTAACATTGCCCATAGACTAACACTGCCCATAGACTCACAATGTCCATAGACTCACATTGCACATAGACTAACACTGCCCATAGACTAACATTGCCCATAGACTAACATTGCCCATAGACTAGCATTGCCCAAAGACTAACACTGCCCATAGACTAACATTGCCCATAGACTAACATTGCCCATAGACTAACATTGCCCATAGACTCACATTGCCCATAGACTAACATTGCCCATAGACTAACATTGCCCATAGACTAACATTGCCCATAGACTAACATTACCCATAGACTAACACTGCCCATAGACTAACATTGCCCATAGACTAACATTGCACGTAGACTAACACTGCCCATAGACTAACATTGCCCATAGACTAACATTGCCCATAGACTAACACTGCCCATAGACTCACATTGCCCATAGACTAACATTGCCCATAGACTAACATTGCCCATAGACTAACATTGCCCATAGACTAACACTGCCCATAGACTAACACTGCCCATAGACTCACAATGTCCATAGACTAACATTGCCCATAGACTAACACTGCCCATAGACTCACATTGCCCATAGACTAACATTGCCCACAGACTCACATTGCCCATAGACTAACATTGCCCATAGACTAACATTGCCCATAGACTAGCATTGCCCATAGACTAACACTGTCCATAGACTAACATTGCCCATAGACTAACACTGCCCATAGACTCACAATGTCCATACTCACATTGCACATAGACTAACACTGCCCATAGACTAACATTGCCCATAGACTAACATTGCCCATAGACTAGCATTGCCCAAAGACTAACACTGCCCATAGACTAACACTGCCCATAGACTCACATTGCCCATAGACTAACATTGCCCATAGACTAGCATTGCCCACAGACTCACATTGCCCATAGACTAACATTGCCCATAGACTAGCATTGCCCATAGACTCACATTGCCCAGAGACTAACATTGCCCATAGACTAACACTACCAATAGACTCACACTGCCCATGGACTAACACTGCCCATAGACTCACATTGCCCATAGACTAACATTGCCCATAGACTAGCATTGCCCACAGACTCACATTGCCCATAGACTAACATTGCCCATAGACTAGCATTACCCATAGCCTAACACTGCCCATATGCTAACACTGCCCATAGGCTAACACTGCCCATAGACTAACACTGCCCATAGTCTAACACTGCCCATAGACTAACACTGCCCATAGACTCACACTGCCCATAGACTCACACTGCCCACAGACTCACACTGCCCATAGACTAACATTGCCCATAGACTAACATTGTCCATAGACTAACACTGCCCACAGACTAGCATTGCCCATAGACTCACACTGCCCATAGACTAACATTGCCCATAGACTAACACTGCCCACAGACTAACACTGCCCACATACTCACACTGCCCATAGACTCACACTGCCCATAGCCTAACACTGCCCATAGACTCACACTGCCCATAGATACTCTCCTGCTATTATGGATTGACTCGTGCAGCTAGCTAAGGATGCAAGGTTCTATAATATATGTTACGTATGTCGCTATTGCTAACTTTCAATCACGTTTATAATGATCACTGTTACGTTGTTTTTATAGCATTATTTTAGTGATTTCTAAAAAGGTTTAGGTTAGCCATATTTGTATGTTGCAGTTTCGAGTTATACTTAGAATTTCATCTAAATTGTATTCTGATTGTTATTGTGATCTAACATCAAACTGGGATTTTTGCACATTTTTTTGTAGGCAGCATAAACATATGGTGCTTTTTCTGGAAGATTTAATTGTCTTTAAAGGGGATGTTTAAATTTGCGTGCAGAAAACTTTAAATGTATCTTGTAATTTTATTGTTTGTTGCGGTTGCACCCGAATCAAGAGCCGAACGGCTCCATCACTGCCCTTCACCACCATCACTGCCACCATCACCACCATCACCATCATCACCACCATCACTGCCACCATCATCACGATCACCGTCTTCACCATCACCGCCTTCACCATCACCACCACCACCACCACCATCACCACCACCATCATAATAATCACCGCTACCATCATCACCATCACCGCCACCATCACCATCACCACCACCATCACCACCACCATCACCATCACCACCATCATCATCATAATCAACACCACCATCACCATCACCACCACCATCACCATCACCACCATCATCACCACCACCATCACCACCACCATCATAATAATCACCGCTACCATCATCACCATCACCGCCACCATCACCACCACCATCACCACCACCACCACCATCACCAACATCATCATCATAATCAATCATAATCACCATCACCATCACCACCACCATCACCATCACCACCACCATCATCACCACCATCACCATCACCACCATCATCACCACCATCATCATAATCAATTATAATCACCGTCACCATCACCACCACCACCACTATCACCACCACCACCATCATCACCACCACCACCATCATCACCACCACCACCACCACCACCACCGCCACCATCACCTCCTTCACCATCACCACCTTCACCATCACCACCTTCACCATCACCACCTTCACCATCACCACCTTCACCATCACCACCTTCACCACCATCATCACCACTGCCACCACCACTGTCTTCACCATCACCGCCACCACCACCACTATCACCACCACTACTGCCATCATCACCGCCTTCACCATCACCACCTTCACCATCACCGCCACCTCCTTCACCACCACCACCTTCACCATCACCGCCACCATCACCTTCACCACCCACTCACCTCCGATGGAGGGGTCACCCCCGGCGACCCCAACTCGGCTGCCCACAAACTGCGAGGTGGCCTCGTTCCCACGGAGCGGACTACGCGGCGGCGGCAAGCCGCCCGGAGAGAGCGGAGACCCGGAGCGGAGCAGAGCGCCACCGGCACCCGGATCCAATCCCTGGCCTGCAGGCATGCGGTCAAACACACAACAACAACCGCCATTCGCCAATAAGTGGCGGTGACGTCACCACGATGCTTGTGCCAGGCCAAGTGCACCTTGAGGCCGCGTGAAGTGTCGAAAGCCCGCTGGCAGGAGGTCACGGGGCAGACCCAGGTGCCACGGGTCGACTGACCGAGATGACCGAGATGACTGGCTGATGCACCACCTGTGCCCCCTACTGTGCCGACTTGCTGTGCTTTAGCCACCCGGCGCTCCGCTCGTTGTTGTGAGCGTCGCTCCTCCGCCCTCCGTTGTTGTTGGAGGGCGACTGCCTCCAACTGCCCAGTAGCGTCCTTCACGAGCCTCCTCCACTGAGGCCGATCTTGACACCGCTGGTACCAGTCATCGGCAAGTCCACTCAGCTCCACGTCCTCCTGTACCACATCACTCCATCTCTTCTCCAGCCCGTGCCGCGCCCGTCTAGCCCCCTCGATCCGGCCGAACAAAAGCTGTTTAGGCATGCGGTGGCTGGGCATGCGGGCTACATGACCCAGCCAACGCAGCCTTGCCTGCCAGAGGAGCTCACTGATGGAACTTTGCCCAGATCTTTCAAGGATTTGTGAGCTCCTCACACAATCCAGCCTGGTTAAACCCAGGATGGATCGTAGGCAGGCCAGCCTAAATGTTTCCAACCGGCGAAGATGCTCCACCAGGGGGGTCCACGTCTCGCAAGCGTAGAGAAGGGAGGGAATGACCGTGGCCGAGAAGACCTGAAGCTTCATGCGGAGCGACAGACCAGGTAGCTTCCACACAGCGTTACGCAACCGATGAAAAGATATTGCCGCTCGACTGATTCGGAGTGAGACCTCTGCTGATAGACTGGAGCCGGTCATAAGCACACTGCCCAGGTATGGGAAACTCTCCACTCTCTCCACAACTGCCCCATCACCAATTGGGAGTTGTGGGGGTGGAGTGTCCGATGGTACAAAATACCCAGGCAGGTGCTTAGTTTTGGTGGGGCTGATGGTAAGGCCCCACCTCTTGGTGGCACGCTCCAGTCTCAGCAGCAGCGTCTCCAACTCCTCTTCTGAATGAGCAGCTATTACCAAATCATCGGCATACATAACATGGTTGACCAATAGGGAGCCATCCCTTGATCGCACCCGGGCGTCGATCAGCCTCCCATTATATCTGTACCAAATGGAAATTCCCCCGGTACAGCTATTGAAGGCTTCACGAACTACGCGGTCAAAATAGATGTTAAATAATGTGGGAGCCAGAGGACATCCCTGTCGCACCCCAAGGTGTACAGGGAAAGGCTCCGACTCCCGGCCACGTAGTTTTACCCGGGCCCGCTCACCATCATGAAGGTCCTTAATGATCGTGAGCAGAGGGTCAGGGACTCCGAAAGCACGAAGAACAACCCAGAGCCCAGTCCTACTGATGGTATCATAGGCCTTGACCAGGTCAATAAAGCAGAGATGTAGGTCTTTTTGGAATTCCCTACACCTCTGCTGTAGCAGACGGACAGAAAATATGGCATCTGTGCAGGACCGCCCTTTCCTGAAACCGCATTGGGGCTCCGCAAGCCTCTCCTCAGCGTGCCTAGCAAGGCGATGTTGAATAATCCTTGCCAGGACCTTACCCGGCACACTGAGGAGTGAGATGCCCCTGTAGTTGTTACAGTCGGTACGGTCCCCCTTCTTAAAGAGGGGGACCACCAGGGCATCCTTCCAGTCCTGCGGAACCCGTCCAGTGGTCCAGACTGTTGTTATGATGTCATATAGGGCAGTCTGTGCACAAACGCCACCCTCCCTCAGCATTTCGCTTGGGAGATCATCTCTGCCCGATGTCTTCCCTGGTCTCAGACTCCGGATTGCCCTCAGTACTTCCTCAACAGCTGGCACCTCAGCCAGCCACTCACAGGGGGTGACCTCTTCCAATATTTGAGGCACCGCAGCCTCAGCAGGGTTATCACCACTTTGTGCCATGATGTTTTCCTGGCTGAGAGAATTTCCCTCCCCCAGGACCTCACAGAAATGCTCAGCAAATCTGCAAACCTGTTCCTGGGGGTCGGAGATTGGATCACCGTTTTTTCCTCTAATGATGGTAATAGGTGTGGCGCTGCAGGTTACTTTTTTGATGGAGTTAAATAGTGATTTGTGATCACGGGCCACTGAGGCAGACTCCATCTCCTCAGCAACCCGCGACCACCACCCATCTTTACAGCGCCTTACGGCTCTCTGAACTTCCGAGCGAAGGCTGCGGTAAACCTCCTCATTCTCTGACGTGGGATGCTGTAGGCGATGAGAGTGGGCCTGACGCTTTTTCTCAATTAACCTGAACACCTCCTCTGTCAGCCAGGGTTTCTGGGGAGGTCTGGACCGCGTACCCAAAGCAGCCATTGCAGCTGCATGAGTCACAGTCTTAAACCTCGCCCATTTCCCCTCAACATCAGGTGGAGTGGGGGACGATGCCAACCCCAGCTGCAAGTGATGATGAAATTCTTGCTTGCAACTTTCATCAGCTAACTGAGACCAGGCCACTTTTGGTTGGAATGGGATCCTGGGTGTACATCCACCACCGGAGTGGAAGAAAGGCAGGCGCATCTTACAGATGACTAGTCGATGGTCAGAGGACAGATCAGCTCCACGGTAGGTCCTGGTGTCAAGGACATGGGTTCGCATCCGCTGGTCCGTCACTATGTAGTCCAGCAGATGTTCTTGCTTGGACCCGGCATGTATCCATGATGTTGTGTGGATGCGCCGATGCCGGAAGAGCGTGTTGGTAATTACAAGCCCATGGGCTGCACAAAAATCTAGCAGCCTCCTACCGTTATTATTGAGCTGATCTGGCCCATGCCTTCCAATCACTCCAGACCAGGTATCAGCATCATGACCAACTCGGGCATTGAAGTCACCCAACAAGATGACTCTGTCCCGAGTGGCCACTTTAGCCAGCACCTGTGACAGGAGGTCATAGAAAGAGTCTGACTCATCGGCTTTGCCTGCATCCCTCCACGGATGTTCGTCTTCGGTGGGGGCATAAGTAACCACGACCACCACTCCTCGCCTCTGGTTGATGGGAAGGCGAGCCCAAAGTATCCTGGGGCTTACAGCTTCCCACACCTCACCGCCACGCTCCCACGCCCCCTTCATTCTTTTGTTCAGAAGAAGAGCCACACCCTGTTGTTTGGCAGTCTCCTGCCCCGAGTAGAGGACTGTCCACCCCTCATGGTGGCAGGAGCCAGAACCGGTCCACCGGACCTCCTGAATGCCACAGAGATCCAGGCGGTACCGGTCCAGCTCCCGACAGAGGAGTGGCAGCCTCTCCTCCGCAGTGAGCGTTCGAACATTCCACGTGGCCATCCGCAATGGTTTTTTGTTGTTTCTGGAGGAGCCCCGAGGGTGAAAATTCAATCTCCTGGCTCCGCCAAATGGGGTTTGGCCAGGAGACGTCATAAAAGCCTGACCCCCCGGGGCCTCCGGCACAAGCTTATTTGTTACAGGTTTATGTTTAATTCGTGGTTTAGTGGTGGTTAATTGAAGGTGGAGGGGTTACCAGCCCCTCACACCCGTCCAGAGCCCCCGTTTAGCCACTGTGGTGGTCACAGACGCCATGAGGGGAGAGGCCAATGGGCATTGGTCCTCCCCCCACAGCACTGCCCACGACAGTCAAACACACACACACGTGTACACACACACACACGTGTACACACACACACACGTGTACACACACACGTGTACACACACACACAAAGATAAAGACAAAGATCCCCTGTATAGCCTTAACAGACTGTAGGGGCAAGTGCTGTTAGCGAGCACCTATGAAGGCCGGAACGGTACACGAGGGGGTGGGTGGCCAGCACCACGCCCGACCGCCTTTGTCTCCCTAGTGGCAATGTTTACACACCGCACCAAGTACTCATTTGAGGCTGAGTCGACCTAGGGGAGGCCCGGGACCGGTTCAGATAATTGTCACTGATGTTGGCAGTGAGCGGGAATCGAACCCGTGTCGCCGGGTTCATAGCGCAGCGCAGCGCTAACCGCTACACTATCGCTCCCCACAACACACACACACGTACACACACACACACACACGTGTACACACACACACGTGTACAGACACACACACACCTACACACACACACAGACACACACACACCTACACACACACACAGACACACACACACCTACACACACACACAGACACACACACACCTACACACACACACACACGTGTACAGACACACACACCTACACACACACACAGACACACGCACCTACACACACACACAGACACACACACGCACGGGCCACGTACCGGATCCGAACCCGGAGTCACAGGCCGAGCAGGTGCCCGGGACGTCGCACTCCGCGTTCCGCTCCAGGGCGGGCGCCGCACACGGAGGAGAGCACCCTCCTGCGGCACAGAGACAAAGCTCCCCCGTCTAGCACTCCACAGGCTTGTGGGACAAGTGCCGTTAGCGAGGTGGGTGGCCAGCGCCACGCCCGGCCGCCTTTGTCTCCCTCGTGGCAATGTCCACACGCTGCACCAGGGACTCATTGGAGGCCGAGTAGACCTAGAGGAGGCCCAGAATCCGTTCAGATCATCGCTCGGTGGGCTAGTTACTGCTAATTACTGCACTATATATATTATATATGTGTTATATATATGTGATATATGTGTTATATATATGTGTTTACATGTTGCACCATACGTAGCCAACCGTGCTAATCGGAGGTGCGGAGGAAGGACAACAGACTAACGCACACAGATCAGTTGAAGCGACTTTGTTAATCTGGATCAGGGGTGTTGAACGTCCGCCCCGCGTGCCGTACGAGGCCGCGGGATCATCTGGTCTGGCCCTGCCAAGGCAACCGCAGGCGGGACTCGAAATTCAATGAATCTAGGAGCAAACCTGGAAAAGCAGTTGCGAGTAGCAACATCATCGATACCAGCTAACACCACACGCCTCGCCAAAGAGAAGCAGTTCCAGCCCATCGCATTAGGGGCGAGTTAATTAAAGGTTTGACCAAATATAACAGGCTAATTTTTAAGTTGATAATTTTGTATGGCCCGCGAATGATGTTATAAATATCCAAATGGCCTTTGGCAGAAAAAAGGCTCCCCACCCCTGCGTCTAGATGATGATGATGAAAAGTGCAGTGCAGCTCCAGTGGATCCCTGTTATCGGAAGGGAAGAGCGTTCCAGACGGCCGCAGAAGCGCGTCTGACGAAAGCGTCATCGACCAATGAACGAGTTGTTTAGACGCGTGGCAGGAAATTGGAGAACCCGGAGGAGACCCACGAGTGCAAGGCGGCAACACTCGATCCCGTACTGATGGGACAGGCGAGGTTCCACATTTGGCTGACGATGACTACGGTGATGATGATTACGGTGACGATGATCACGTGATGATGGTGACGATGATCACGTGATGATGGTGACGGTGACGATGACGACGATGATGACGATGGTGACGATGACGACGGTGATGACGACGATGATCACGGTGACGATGACGATGGTGACGATGATCACGGTGACGATGATGGTGACGATGACGACGATGATCACAGTGACAATGACGACGATGACGATGACGACGATGATTACGGTGATGGCGATGGTGACGATGTGCGGCTTCCCCCCCCTCACCGTGCTCGCTGGAGGAGAACAGCTGCTCCAGGTCGGCGCTGTCGCCCAGGTGCGGCATGGAGAGGCTGCGGGGGGGGCCCCAGGGCATGGGGGCGCCCCCCCCCCTCGCCCCCCCTCCACGCCCCGCCAGCCCCCCGTGGCCCCCCACGCAGAGGGAGCAGGCGGAGGGGGAGGACTTCAGGGGGCGATCTGTGCACACGCACAAACACAAAGGTCCCCCGTGTAGCTTGAACAGACTGCCGGGGCAAGTGCTGTTAGTAGCGAGTAGCACCCTGTGAAGGCCGGCACTGTGGCACACGAGGGGATGGAGTCGTCAGCACCACACGTGCACCCGGCCGCCTTTGTCTCCCCAGTGGCGATGTTTACTACACAGGCCGAGTCGACCACGTAAGCAACAACAACAACCGCCATTCGCCACTAAGTGGCGGTGACGTCACCACGACGCTTGTGCCAGGCCATGTGCACCTTGAGGCCACGTGAAGTGTCGAACGCCAAGTGCTGGCAGGAGGTCGCAGGGCAGACCCAGCAGGTGCCACGGGTCGACTGACCGAGATAACTGAGATGACTGGCTGATGCACCACCTGTGCTCCCTACTGTACCAACTTGCTGTGCTTTTGCCACCCGGCGCTTTACTTTGCTGTGCTTGAGCCACCACACAAGCACACACACACGCACGGAGACACACACACACACACAGAGACACACACAGACACACACAGACACACAGAGACACACACAGACACACACACACGCACACAGAGACACACAGAGACACACACAGACACACACAGACACACAGAGACACACACAGACACACACACACAGAGACACACACAGACACACACAAACGCACACACACAGACACACACACACAGACACACACACACAGACACACACACACAGACACACGCACAGACGCACACACACAGACGCACACACACAGACGCACACACACAGACGCACACACACAGACACACACACGCACAGACACACACACACAGATGCACACACACAGACACACACACACGCACAGACACACACACACAGATGCACACACACAGACACAAGCACGGAGACACTGCTACGATCCTGCTCGCTAGCCGCGGCGTCCCCGTCGCTACGCACGTGTTCCGCCGCGACCTCTCGTGCAGCAGCTGCAGCAGCTCTGCAGCGGCAGCAGCAGGTCTGCAGCGGCAGCAGCTCTGCAGCAGCAGTAGCAGCAGTAGCAGCAGCAGCTCTGCAGCGGCAGCAGCTCTGCAGCAGCAGTAGCAGCAGTAGCAGCAGCAGCAGCTCTGCAGCAGCAGTAGCAGCAGCTCTGGAGCAGCAGCAGCTCTGCAGCAGCAGTAGCAGCTCTGCAGCAGCAGTAGCAGCTCTGCAGCAGCAGTAGCAGCAGTAGCAGCAGCAGCTCTGGAGCAGCAGCAGCTCTGCAGCAGCAGTAGCAGCAGCAGCAGCTCTGGAGCAGCAGCAGCTCTGCAGCAGCAGCAGCTCTGGAGCAGCAGCAGCTCTGCAGCAGCAGTAGCAGCAGTAGCAGCAGCAGCTCTGGAGCAGCAGCAGCTCTGCAGCAGCTCTGCAGCAGCAGTAGCAGAAGCAGCTCTGCAGCAGCAGCAGCTCCAAGCAGCAGCAGCAGCGCGCTGAGACAGGATCACCGTGAAGCCGCAAGCTTCCTGACGTGACCCGCTTCCCTTGGACCCTTCTTTGGGCAACCCCTCGGCGTCCATGTGGCGTTTGAACATCTTAACATCTTATTAAGTTTTATTTTTATTATTTTATTATTTCCCTTTTACGTAACTTTACCGAAAGAACCAAGAAGATGAATCCCTGCAGTCACGAAAGCTTAAAATCGAAATCTTAACACAACTGCTGTTTTATCGCCAGATAGGATAAAACATATTCCTATTTTTCATACTTTGATCGTGGCAAAAAAGATATCCCGTGATGTAGCAGCTATAGATGAGCCAAGCAGGAGCTACAAATTGTTGTTGTCAGTATCAAAGTACGACAACAACAAAAATGCTCTATTCCTTTGCAAATAAAAAGGTATCGATTTGGTGTCTGGACACGTTCAACACATCTCCCACAAACCTCCACCGTGGATAATGTTGGATCACGAAAGCCGCCTCCACTGCGTGTTGAACTGAGCGTGTTTGTCTTTGCATGTCCACCACACGTACCGCGTGTGGCTAATGCAGACTTCGATCCCTTGCTACTGTAGGGGTTATACAGGTAGGAACAATGTTCCACACTGCCCACCAGGGATTTATTGTCTGTCTGTCTGTCGTGCATAAATAAATATATAACACACACAGCTCTTTGATTGGTGGAGACCTTACAAACAGCTCTTTGATTGGTGGAGACCTACTGCCGGGTACGGAGAGGGGAGGTGCCTAAGGGAGGGGGGGTCAGGGGAGGGGCCTAAGGGAGGGGGGGTCAGGGGAGGGGCCTAAGGATATGGGGGGTTGGTCAGGGGAGGGGCCTAAGGGAGGGGAGTAATGGGAGGGGCCTAAGCAAGGGGGAGGGGCCGATAGTTAAGGGGGCTGGCTACCTGGCTGTCTGCCTGGCTACCTCAAGTCAAGTTATCTTGTACACAGGTAGGAACAACAGGTTCCACACTTGTCCACCAGGGATTATTTGTCTGTCTGTCGTGCACGAATGCGCTGTCCAACCAAGTTCCTACCTGCCCACTCCGAAGGAACTTGTTTACGGGGAGAAAGGCGGACAGAAAACAACATGGTGTCTGCACCCACACACGGGTGTCTACACCCACGTCCGCATCCGTTAACCACTGGGGGGCCATGGGGGCTCTGTGATCCCCCATAACCCCGCCCCTCGGAGGGAATCCCTATAAAAGGCGGGGAGCCAGAGAGCTCGGGGCCAGTGTGGAAGAAGCTTACCAGTGAAGTCTGAAGACCGGCAGAATAGGCCCTGGGACTCCCCTGTCTCGCTGCCCTTGTCAGGGCCGAACTGGGCAAGCCAGCGGCGCGGCCCCAAGAGCTTCCAGACCTCTGCTCTTGTAAGAGCAAGGCCGGCTTAGCTGGGTGCCGGGATCCGTGCTTACCAGGGCCGGATCAGACAGCCTCCCGTAGCACTATTAGAGGAGGACTGGGAACAGAACAGGGGAATTAGTGCTAGGGGTGGTTTCTCATCCAGTACGGGTGAAGGGGCCGTTACCCCTTCAAGTATTGTACTGTCCTTGAGTTTAATAAAAGAGTGTGCCTCGACTCTGTCGTCAGTCTCCCTGGAACTCACTACATCTGGCGTCAGAAGTGGTCGAAAGCATGGATACGAGATGGACGACTTGTGCCCAAGACCCCGGAGAGGACGACAACGAGGGAGAGGCGGTGCAAGATGTCGCCGCTGACGTACCTGGCCAACCGCTGCCGGCTCTACCACCTGCAGGGTAGTCGGAAAGGGTCGGGACGTCAGCTGATGAGTTGGCATTAGCCCACTCCCGACTGGCAGAGCTCCTATATGCAGCGGCCGCCATGCTGGAGCAGATAACTCGCCTGGGGCCGGGGGGAGCGGCGCAGCGGGAAGACGGACAGCGCCCGCCAGAAACTCCCGCCTTTGCGATGGACCGGAGGCTTGAATTTCCCGCCACGGGTACAGTAGGAGCCGAGGGAGGGGCCCCAGCTCGTCACGCGGGCGGTGGGGTCCAACCAGCGTGCGCCACGTCATCGGCGGGGGCGGGTCGCAGTGGCAGCAGCGGTTAGGGTGCCCTTGGCACCCAGGTCGGCACGCTCCATGCTTCAGTCGGCGCTGCAGGTGCTGGCCACGGTTTATGGGCCGCCTTCCGATTGTCACCAGCTTTTCTACGAGCGGCAGAAGGGCGACAAGGAGTCACCACTTGCATACCGCACGGCCCTGCTGGCGTTGGCGAAGGCGGTCGATGCGATGGTGGCCGGAAAAATTTTGCTGTTGGCCGACGACTTGAACTTCGTCATCCTGGCACAGGATGATGCGGACATGTCGTCATTACGGGCTGCAAGGCACATTCATACCAATCTGATTTCCCAGCGGAGGAAGGCTCACAAGGCAGCTGCGGGACACACCGGGGCAGCAACCACCTCCGAATCCGAGGGGGGCTTCGCTGCGGGCCGTTCTGCGGGATGGCGGTCTGGCGGGCGACCGGCTTGGGATGCACCGAGCCACCGAGAGCAGCCCAAGTCTTCTGGAGCACTCGTCGTGTGCTACAACTGTGGCCTCCGGGGCCACGTGGCTTCAGGATGCCGGGCTCCTCGACAGCGCGGAGCAAGAACTGCGGCTGAGGACGGCCCTCTTCAAAAGCCTCCACAACATCCTCCGGCAAGTCGTGGCACCCCACATGTCCGGCCTGCACGCACACCCACTTCTTTCTCACATGCCCCAACACACGATTCTCGGGGTTCGGGTGCTGGTGCGTCGGGTCGCGGCTTGATGGGGAGGGCGCTCCAACCGGGCCAATGGTCCGAGTTGGCTCACCGTGTGTTGTGGCTGCGTCGGCGGGGTCGTCCGTTGTCACGGGGCACATTGATGGGGTGGAGGTACGGGTATTGATCGACACGGGAGCATCGGCGACTATCATTTCCGATTTGATTAATAATATCCTGCCCGTTCAGAGTCGCCCGTTGCTCCCCGTCGACATACCGTGTTACGCTGCAAACGGGGGCTCGTTAGGTATCATCGGCCAAATTCGAACGCAAATTTCTATCGGGGACATTAAATTATCTGGGCCGGTGTTGGTCTCCTCCTCTCTGGCAATTCCGTGCCTGTTGGGGATGGACTTTTTGGCCAAATTGCCTGTCAAAATTTTGATTGACCAGGGATCCATCGAGCTTCCATCGGGCCGACGTATAACGTACCTGCCTTCCACCCCTGCTTTGCGTACAGCCTGTACAACAGTACAGGCGCTCGTTGCTCGAACGGTGCGCGTACCCCCGGGGGCACAGATGCTCGTGCCCCTGCGGTTGTGTCGACCGTTCGCTAAAGGAGTCTCAGACCAGGGCATTTTGCTGGGGCCCGTCTAGGGCCGGGGTGAATGGGCCAGATTTGGTGACGGCCCAAACTATTGTTAAAGGGGATGAGGACCCGTTTATCGCGGTCCTCAATGTCGGGACACGGACGGCGGTGGTTTCCCAGGGAACCGTGTTCGCACATGCGATTCCGGGACCTGCGGAAACGCCGATCATTGGCCAGGTGGCCACCGCTTCTCAGCCGCGACTGCAGTCAGACCATGACGAGGGTTGGCTGGAGGCGCTTTGTGCTGAGACACCTGACCTATACGACTCATAACTTGCTAAATTGTGTACCCTTTTGCGAGAATTTTCCAACGTCTTTAGTAAGCACAAATTTGATATCGGATGTACAAAATTGCTGCGCCACCATATTGACACCGGTGACAACGCTCCTATCCGCCAAAATCCTTTTCGGTTAAGTCCCGCCGAAAATGATCATGTCAAATCGGCTGTAGATGACATGTTGGCTTCTGACATTATTTCTCCCCTCGACCAGCCCTTGGGGTGCACCCATAGTATTGGTTTAAAAGCACGATGGGTCCCTAAGGTTCTGCGTTGATTTTCGGCGGTTGAATAAAATCTCGGTGGCCGATGCTTACCCGCTTCCTCGAATGGACGAATCTCTGGAGGCCCTAGCTGGATCACGATTCTTCTCCACCTTAGATTTGCTGTCAGGGTTTTGGCAACTTCCTTTGGATGACGAATCGAAGCCCAAAACAGCTTTTCGAACGCCGCACGGCCTCTTCCAATTCAATCGGTTGCCTATGGGGCTCCACTCCGCTCCCGCAACGTTCCAGCGCCTGATGGAATTGGTTCTCGCTGGCTTGCAATGGGAGGTATGTTTGATTTACCTAGACGACGTGATCGTATTTAGTAAGACATTTGAGGAACATCTTGATAAGCTTCGGGCGGTCTTTCTCAAAATGTGCGCAGCTAATTTGAAATTCAAACCACAAAAGTGCCATTTGCTACACGAATCTGTACGATATTTGGGTCACATCGTCAGACGGTCAGGTATCTCAACCGATCCCGCCAAAACGCGTTGTCAGCTCCTGGCCGACTCCCACCTCGGTGGGGGAGGTTAGGAGCTTCATCGGTTTTGCTTCATATTACCGGCGGTTTGTCGCGGCGGAGTTCGCTTCCATCGCTAAGCCATTACATGCCTTAACGGCAAAGGGGGTGAAATTTCATTGGGGGCCGGAAGAGGAGGCCACCTTTAACTCTCTTCGTGACGCCTTGGTGGGGGCCCCGCCGTTGAGTTACCCCGATTTTTCTCTACCTTTCGTGCTCGACACGGACGCGAGCAACACGGGGATTGGGGGCGTGCTTTCCCAAGCTGTGGGTGGCGTGGAGCACGTTGTGGCTTACGGTAGTAGAGTATTGTCTCCTGCCGAGCAAAGATACCGTGTCACCCGCCGTGAACTGATGGCTATTGTTTTCTTTATTCAACAGTACCGGCCATATCTGTACGGCCGGCATTTCACCGTCCGTACAGATCATGCGGCATTGCAGTATGCCCTGCGTATTCACCAGCCATCGGGGCAGTTGTCCCGATGGCTGGAGATCATTCAGGATTTCGATTTCGAAACAACATATCGCAAGGGGATTCGCCACACTAATGCCGATGCCCTGTCGCGCCTGCCGGTCACTTCGGATTGCACTTGTTTCTTGGGCTCGGGGCGTTGCAAGTCGGCGAGCGACGGCCAGAATCGGGTCCTTGCGGCCGTCGTTGAGGCTCCTTCGGGCGTTGGCCCTATTGATATGGGAGGGAAGGATTCCCTACTGGGGTTTGTCAGGTGCAGAGTGGGGGCGCCTCCAAATGGAGGATACGTCCCTCCTGGCGCTACGGCGTCACGTGGAAGGATCCAGTCAGGGGACGTTGGGCGTTGACTCATGGGGGTTGTGCCAGGGCCTCCTCATGCATTGGGACGGAACGATCCACCGCCACAGGTTGGTGGTGCCTTCCACGTTGAGGGGTAGGGCTGTATGGGCTGCTCATGAGCAGCTCCTGCACCTGGGCACCCACAAAACCCTTGCCATGCTCCAGCTTAATTTCTTTTGGCCGGGCATGGCAAGGGATGTGGACGATCTGTTGCAGTCTTGTACCCAGTGTGCTCAATGGAAGCCGCCAGCAAGGGGAGCCAGCCCACCGCTCCAGTCTATTTCGGTCACCCGGGTTAATGAGCTTGTCGCTCTTGATATTTTGGGGCCGTTTCCTTCCACGCCTAGGGGTAATAAGTACCTACTGGTTGGCGTGGAATATTTCACGCGATGGCCTATGGCTTGGCCCCTCGCCAACCAGTCGGCAGCAGCCGTTGTGGAGGCTTTTGTCCAGAGCTATGACCTCGACAAGGGCGCTCCGGAACGGTTGTTGACCGATCAGGGAAAGAATTTCACTAGTTCCCTTTTACACGAGGTGTGTGAGCTTCTTGGTACGAAGAAAATCCGTACTTCCCCTTACTACCCACAAACGGATGGGATGGTAGAACGCCTGCATAGGACTCTTACGTCCATGCTGTCCCACCAGGTATCTGAGTCCCAAACCGATTGGGACCTTCAGATCCCGGGAGTTCTGGCAGCTTACAGGATGGCTCCTCATGCGGCGACCGGATTCTCGCCATTTTTTTAAATGTATGGCCGCGAAGTTGACCCGCCTGTCGCGACCCAGCTGAAAATTGCCACACCACACGCTAAGTCCAAGTTGGCGGACCATGTTAGATTTAATATCCTCAAGTTGGCTAAGGCACGGGAGGCGGCTACGCAAAACTCTGACTCTCGCCAGAAGGCGAATGAAAGGTTGCGATCGCGCCGGTCACACATGCATGAATGGCACCCGGGTGACAGAGCGTGGCTACACTGCCCCCAGGTGCCATTGGCTACCTCGTCTAATTTGTTGCGACCATGGAGGGGCCCCATGGAAATTGTGCAGGTTATGCGGCCTCAATGTGTTCGCATTAAATGGGGGAAGCGTCAGTGGTTCGTACAACCTTCACGGTTGAAGCCGTTCTTTGCGCCACATGCTTCCTCTCATGACTATGGCCGAACATGTGGGGGGTCCACTGACTCCTGGAGGGCGGGTTCGCCGCCAGCCTTTGATCCGCTGCTAACTGTTCCGTCTTCAGGGCCCAAGGACTGACGCCCTCTCGGCCGCCAGCCTCCCCCGAGGGGGTTGGCGCTGGCTCGTCCGAGAAGCCGGAGGGCCGTGCACCTACATTTTCAACACCTGTCGCTGGCCCTACTGGGTCGGGCCCTTGTGACGGGCCCACTGCACAAACATGCCCTAAGACTCGCCGGTTGTTGTGAGTTGCTTCCCGCGCGTGTTCCGCTGCTGGAGGGCTCGCTCACCTTTTTTTTATTTTTTTGGTTGGGTGGGGGTGGGGAACCACACTTGAGACAGGAAAGCTGTCTCGGGTGTGGACCCATCAACTTCAAGGACAGTGCATACATTATCAGAGTTATGTTTTTTGTTTTCATTATGACTGCAGGTATTGTGGTCTATGCAAACATGACTCCTTGTAAAAAAAGGTGTCAGTTTTGTTGCCAGATAGAAGGGTAAAAAAACAATTATTATTTTTTTACTGGCAAATTAGGTTCCAACGCTGAGACATTGGAGGGAGTTCAGATTCACAATTGCTCTCAGCCAAGACACGGCTTCAACAAGTTGAACCGTTAAAACTATTTTAGTTTTTATTTTACCATGTGCAAGGCCCCACTGAGCTGTGTAGCTCTGTTTCAGAAATGACCCGGCCACGATTGACAGCTCAACGAAGTGGCTCATCACCATCATCATCACGTGGGCATTTGTAGCAGTAGCCAAATACTCTAAAACGCGTAAAGTTGATTCTAACCATGGAGGGAAAAACCGGAGGGACCGGAGAAAAATCCACGCGACCACGGGGAGAGAGACACGCACATATACAGCAGCAGCAGCAGTAGTAGCAGGCGCCAGGATTGGGATGGGACCCACGGCCTCCTGTCGACCAGGCGAGGCAGTCAACATGTCGCCATCGGGGCGCCCAAGTCCGTCAATCTAGACCAGGGGTGGGGAACGTCCGGCCCGCGGGCCGTATGAGGCCGCAAAATCATTTGGTGTGGCCCTGCCAAGGCAACCGCAGGCGGGACTCGAAATTCAACGAATCTAGGAGCAAACCTGGAAAAGCAGTTGCGAGTAGCAGCAACATCATCAACACCAGCTAACATCATCACACGCCTCGCCAAAGAGAAGCAGTTCCAGCCCATCGCATTAGGGGTGAGTTAATTAAATGTTTGGCCAAATATAACGGGCTACTTTTTAGTTATTTTGTATGGCCCGCGAATGATGTTATATAAATATCCAAATTGCCCTTGGCAGAAAAAAGGTTCCCCGCCCCTGATCTAGACGATGATTTAAAAGTGGCCACAGCTCCCAGCGGCTTCCTAATATCGGAAGAGCGTTCCAGATGGCCGAAAAGGCGGCGCATCTGAAAGTGCCGCGCGACGACAATGCGGCAACCGCAGTCTTTGTCCGCTGTCCCGGCAGCCCGGCTCACCATCGCCGCAGCCGCCGCGGCCGCCTTCGGCCGCCAGGGAATGCTGGGAGGAGAAGAGGCGGCCAATCAGAGGCCGGCGCGGGCGGGAGAGGCGCGAAGAGGGGTCCGCCTGCGGCTGTGGTGGCGGGGGCGGCAGCAGGGTCACGTGACTCCGCCAGTTGGACATCCCCGGGGGCCACGCCGGCTGGCTGCGCGTCACCGGCGGCGCCGCCGATGACGACGACGACGACGCCGCCGGGGTTCTGCGGAGGACGCGCGGCGTCGCCGACGAGGTCGACGACGGCGAAGCCAGCGAGCCGCCCGGCGCATGGTGGTGATGGTGGTGACGATGGTCGTGCTGATGTTGTTGCTGCTGCTGGTGGTGGTGGTGTTGATGGGGCTGATGCTGTGGATGGAGATGCTGCTGCTGCTGCTGCTGGAGATGATGGAGATGCTGCTGCTGCTGGAGATGATGGAGATGCTGCTGTTGATGTTGAGGATGCTGCTGCTGATGAAGATGAAGCTGCTGCTGCTGCTGCTCCACACACTGATCACGATGCTGCTGATCGTGATGTTGATGATTGTGCTGCTGCTGCTGCTGCTGCTGCTCCACACACTGATCACGATGCTGCCGCTCGCGATGCTGGCGCTGGAGATCGCCGTCCGGCTGCTGCTCCCGCGCCGGCTCCACGTCGTGGTAGCGATGTCTGTGGCTGCGGTGGTGCTGGTCGTGGCCGTGCGGTTGCTGCCCAGCGTCGCCACCGCCGCGGTTGTTGTTGTCGGCGGCGTCGCTCCGCGGGAGGCGCCCGGCCGCGCCCGTCAGGAGAAGCCTCTCGGACAGGGCCTCGGCCCGGCGGCGTTCCAAGATGGCCGCCTCGCGGTCCTCGCGCCTCAAGAGGAGGCGGCGCTTGCGGGGCTTGGCGGCTTTCGCCTGCCGGGGGAGCCGTCGGCAGTGCCACCGTCATCATCGGCAGTGCCACCATCATCATCAGATGTTCACTACCTCGCCTGGTGTACAGGAGGTCATGGGTTCCATCCCGACCCTGACGCCTGCTGCTGCAGTGTATGTGGCGTTTGCGTGTCTCTCTATCTCTCTTGTGGATTTTTCACGAGAGAGAGAGTCATCATCAGCAGCAGCAGTCATCAGCAGCAGTCACCATCATCAGCAGCAGCAGCAGCAGTCATCATCATCATCAGCAGCAGCAGCAGTGTCATCATCATCATCAGTAGAACTGTCATCATCAGCAGCAGCGTAATCATCAGCAGCAGCAACAGTGTCAACAGCAGCAGCGTCATCATCATCAGCCATCATCATCAGCAGCAGTGTAATCATCATCAGCAGCAGTCATCAGCAGCAGTCATCAGCAGCAGTATCATAATCATTAGCAGCACTGCATCATCAGCAGCAGCGTAATCATCAGCAGCAGCATAATCATCATCAGCAGCAGCAGTGTCATCAGCAGCATCAGTGTCATCATCATCAGCAGCAGCATCAGTGTCATCATCATCAGCAGTGTCATCATCATCAGCAGCAGCAGTGTCATCATCATCATCATCACAGCAGTGTCATCATCATCAACAGTGTAATCATCATCAGCATCAGTGTCATCATCATCATCATCAGCAGCAGCATCAGTGTCATCATCATCAGCAGTGTCATCATCATCATCAGCAGTGTAATCATCATCATCAGCAGCAGCAGCGTAATCATCATCATCAGCAGCAGTGTAATCATCACCATCAGCAGTAGCAGCAGCGGTAATCATCATCATCATCAGCAGTGTAATCATCATCATCATCAGCAGCAGCAAGGAGCAGGGAGGAGTGCGACTGACCGGAGCTCCAGGCGGAGTCTTCCCTGTGAAGAGACAAACAGCGCCGGTCAGGGTGCTGACGGCTGTGGTGGTGGTGGTGGTGGTGGTGGTGATGGTGATAGTGGTGGTGATGATGTTAATAGTGGTGATGGTGATAGTGGTGGTGGTGATGTTAATAGTGGTGATGGTGATAGTGGTGGTGGTGATGTTAATGGTGGTGATGGTGATAGTGGTGGTGGTGATGTTAATGGTGGTGATGGTGATAGTGGTGGTGGTGATGTTAATAGTGGTGATGGTGATAGTGGTGGTGGTGATGTTAATGGTGGTGATGGTGATAGTGGTGGTGGTGATGTTAATAGTGGTGATGGTGATAGTGGTGGTGGTGATGTTAATAGTGGTGATGGTGATAGTGGTGGTGGTGATGTTAATGGTGGTGATGGTGATAGTGGTGGTGGTGATGTTAATGGTGGTGATGGTGATAGTGGTGGTGGTGATGTTAATGGTGGTGATGGTGATAGTGGTGGTGGTGATGTTAATGGTGGTGATGGTGATAGTGGTGGTGGTGATGTTAATGGTGGTGATGGTGATAGTGGTGGTGGTGATGTTAATAGTGGTGATGGTGATAGTGGTGGTGGTGATGTTAATAGTGGTGATGGTGATAGTGGTGGTGGTGATGTTAATGGTGGTGATGATGGTGAGGTGGTTGATGGTGATGGTGATGAGGTGGTGATGTTAATAGTGGTGATGGTGATAGTGGTGGTGGTGATGATGCTGTTTGGTGGTGGTGGTGATGTTAAAGGTGGTGATGATGGTGAGGTGGTTGATGGTGATGGTGGTGAGGTGGTGATGTTAATAGTGGTGATGGTGGTGGTGGTGGTGGTGGTGATGCTGTTTGGTGGTGGTGGTGATGTTAAAGGTGGTGATGATGGTGAGGTGGTTGATGGTGGTGGTGGTGAGGTGGTGATGTTAATAGTGGTGATGGTGATAGTGGTGGTGGTGATGATGCTGTTTGGTGGTGGTGGTGATGTTAATGGTGGTGATGATGGTGAGATGGTTGATGGTGATGTTGTTGACGGTGGTGATAGTGATAGTGGTGATGGTGGTGATGGGAGTGATGGAAATGATGGGGGTGGTGGTTGTGATGGTTGTGATGGTGGAGGTGATGATGGGAGTGATGGTGGTGATGGTGGAGGTGGTGATGGCAGTGATGGCAGTGATGGTAGTGATGGCGGTGATGGTAGTGATGGTAGTGATGGTAGTGATGGTAGAGGTGGTGATGGTGGAGGTGGTAGTGATGGTAGTGATGGTGGTGATGGGGGTGCTTGCCTGTGGCGGGTGATGGGGCCTCGCTCCCCACACACAGGAGGATGTTCTCGGGTTTGATGTCGGTGTGGATGACATCACAGCGGCTGTGAAGGTAGTCCAGCCCCTCCAGAACCTGACATCACCACAACAAACACCATCACCACCATCACTATCATCACCATCACCAACAAACATCACCATCACCACCATCATCTACAAACATCACCACCAAAATCACCATCACCACCATCACTATCATCACCATCACCAACAAACATCACCATCACCACCATCATCTACAAACATCATCATCACCACCAAAATCACCATCACCAACAACTACAAAGATCCCCCGTGTAGCCTGTAACAGACTGTTGGGGCAAGTTGTCTCGGCCTCGCTGTGCGCTGCGCTGCGTTGCACCGCTAGCTGATTAGTTAACCTCGCGTTCAATAAAAACCTCGGAGCCAGGATGAACGTCCGACTCCAAAACGTCATTTATTGAGTTTAACGAGGTAAAACTGGTGAGAAAACACAGATACAGCATCTGTTATAACCCGAAAACACCAACACAATGAATGAATACCACAGCACCATAACATTGTCTTAGATAACATATTTCTAAACAATAGATCCTGGAGGAGGCAGGCACCTACATTATCATCACACTGCACCCCAGATGTACAGCACTGTATGTAACACCGCACTATGAATGAGACATTTTGTCATCCTTGCTCTCAAGATCGCAATATAGTTTAGTTGGGTACAAGTTTGACTCGAGTTATTAAATTACAAGTAACATTCACAATAAGGAAAGTTGCAGGCTTCGTTGTTAACTAGGCCTCATATTTATCGTAACAATTTAACAGCATTATAAAGGCATTTACATCCTTATAACGGTCATTCTAACATTATAACAGCATTGCCAATATTATAAGAACATAAACGAACTTACAGACAATGCTTCTTAAGCTCCCACAATGGACAATTACGGCTGTAGCTTCACTGGGACGCGATGTGTGCCGCCATCTTGAATTATGTGCATAATGGCCGACGCCCGCGTGGTTCAGTGGAAATCTAAAATCACAACTTTCTGGTCACGTGACCAAAATTAGCATCAAAAATAGGAAATTCCTGTGTACATACGCCCCTCCCCCATCTGCCATGAGGCAGGAGGTTTGCTGTTAGCGAGTAGCATCTATGAAGGCCGGCACGGCACACGAGGGGGTGGGTGGCCAGCACCACGCCCGGCCGCCTTTGTCTCCCCAGTGGCGATGTTTACTACACACCGCACCAGGTACTCATTTGAGGCCGAGTCGACCTAGGGGAGGCCCAGGACCGGTTCAGATAATCATATCGAACTCGGGTCGCCGGGTTGGTAGCATAGGGCTAACTGCTGGGCCACCGCTCCCCACACCATCACCTACAAACACCACCATCATCAACAAACACCACCATCACCAACAAACACCACCATCAACAAACATCATCACCATCACGATCACCAACAAACTTCACCAACAGCACTTGCCCCAAAAGTCTCTTGAGGCTATCCAGGGGGTCTTTGTTCTTCTCTTTATTGGTGATGGCGGTGATGGCGCGTACCTGGGTGGTGGTGGTGGTGGTGACGATGGCGATGATGGCGGTGATGGTAATGATGGTGATGATGGTGATGATGGTGATGGCGGTGGCGATGGCGATGGTGATGGTGACGATGGCGTGTACCTGCGTGGTGATGGCAGTGATTGTGATGGCGGTGATGGTGATGATGGTGGTGATGGTGATGATGGTGGTGATGGCGGTGATGGTGGCGATGGTGGTGATGGCGGCGATGGTGATGGCGGTGATGGTGATGATGATGGCGGTGATGGTGGCGATGGTGATGGCAGTGATGGTGGTGTTGATGGTGACGATGGTGGCGCGTACCTGCGTGGTGATGGCGGTGATGGTGACGATGGTGGTGATGGTGATGATGGTGACGATGGTGACGATGGTGATGATGGTGACGATGGTGGTGATGGTGGCGTGTACCTGCGTGGTGATGGCGGTGATGGTGGTGTTGATGATGATGACGATGGTGACGGCGGTGACGATGATGGTGACGATGATGGTGACGATGATGGTGACGATGGCGTGTACCTGCGTGGTGATGGCGCGCACGCAGGCGAGCGGCAGGCCGTGGTAGTGCGAGCGAGCGATCCAGCGCAGCAGGTGGGCGCCCAGCAGCTCCATCACCACGCACACGTCTAGCGCAGCGCAGCGCGCTCGTCAAGGTCACAGCGACAACCCCGTGTCTCACCCCCCGTGTGTCTCACCCCCCGTGTCTCCATCCCGTGTCTCACCCCCCCGTGTCTCACCCCGTGTCTCCCCCCATGTCTCCATCCCGTGCCTCACCCCGTGTCTCCCCCACCCCCCGTGCCCCCCCCCCCCATCCCGTATCTACCCCCGTGTTTCCCCGTGTCTCCCCCCCTGTCTCCCTGTCTACCTGTGTCTCTCTGTCTACCCGTGTCTCTCTGTCTGCCCGCATCTCCCCATGTGTCTCATTGTCTCCGACACGTGTCTCCGCGTCTCTCCATCGCCAAGCACACGGCGACTCCCCGCATATCTCCGTGTCTCCCCGTGTGTGAGCCCGTGTCTCCCCGTGTGTCTCCCAGTGTCTCCCCGTGTGTGAGCCCGTGTCTCCCCGTGTCTCACCCCGTGTCTCACCCCGTGTCTCACCCCGTGTCTCACCCCGTGTCTCACCCCGTGTCTCACCCCGTGTCTCACCCCGTGTCTCACCCCGTGTCTCACCCCGTGTCTCACCCCGTGTCTCCCCGTGTGTCTCCCCGTGTGTCTCCCCGTGTGTGAGCCCGTGTCTCCCCGTGTCTCTCCCCGTGTCTCTCCCCGTGTCTCACCCCGTGTCTCACTCCGTGTCACCCCGTGTCTCACCCCGTGTCTCCCCGTGTCTCCATGTTCCCACGTCACCACGTGTACTCGTGCCCCTATGACCCCGTGTCCCCACGTCTCCCCGTGACGCCGTGCACCCCGGACCCAGTGTACCCGTGTCTCCGTGTCCCCACGTCCCCTTATCTCCCCGTGTCCCCATGACCCCGTGACCCCGTGTCTCCCTATGAGTCCGTGACCCCATGTCCCCATGTCTCCCTGTGACCCCCCGTGACCCCGAGGATACGCGTGCCGTTGACCCCGTGACCCGATGTCTCCCTGTGACCCCGTCCCCGTGACCCCGTGTCCCCATGTCTCCCTGTGACCCCCCGTGACTCCGTGACCCCGAGGATACGTGTGCCGTTGACCCCGGTGACCCGGAACTCGTCCCGGAGCGCGACCACGCGGCTCCTCCTGGCGTCCGTGGGGTCAGCGTCACGCACCTGGGTCACCCAGCCACACCGGCCAATCACCAACGAGCTCACTACCACCCAGACAACCAATCACATCACTACCACCCACACAACCAATCACATCACTACCACCCAAACAACCAATCACATCACTACCACCCAGACAACCAATCACATCACTACCACCCAGACAACCAATCACATCACTACCACCCAGACAACCAATCACATCACTACCACCCAGACAACCAATCACTTCACTACCACCCACACAACCAATCACTTCACTACCACCCAGACAGCCAATCACATCACTACCACCCAGACAACCAATCACTTCACTACCACTCACACAACCAATCACATCACTACCACCCACACAACCAATCACTTCACTACCACTCACACAACCAATCACATCACTACCACTCACACAACCAATCACATCACTACCACCCACACAACCAATCACATCACTACCACCCAGACAACCAATCACATCACTACCACCCACACAACCAATCACATCACTACCACCCACACAACCAATCACATCACTACCACCCAGACAACCAATCACATCACTACCACCCAGACAACCAATCACATCACTACCACCCAGACAACCAATCACATCACTACCACCCAGACAACCAATCACATCACTACCACCCACACAACCAATCACATCACTACCACCCAGACAACCAATCACATCACTACCACCCAGACAACCAATCACATCACTACCACCCACACAACCAATCACATCACTACCACCCAGACAACCAATCACATCACTACCACCCACACAACCAATCACTTCACTACCACTCACACAACCAATCACATCACTACCACCCAGACAACCAATCACTTCACTACCACCCACACAACCAATCACTTCACTACCACCCAGACAGCCAATCACATCACTACCACCCAGACAACCAATCACTTCACTACCACCCACACAACCAATCACTTCACTACCACCCAGACAGCCAATCACATCACTACCACCCAGACAACCAATCACTTCACTACCACTCACACAACCAATCACATCACTACCACCCACACAACCAATCACTTCACTACCACCCAGACAACCAATCACTTCACTACCACTCACACAACCAATCACATCACTACCACCCACACAAACAATCACATCACTACCACCCAGACAACCAATCACATCACTACCACCCAGACAACCAATCACATCACTACCACCCAGACAACCAATCACATCACTACCACCCAGACAACCAATCACATCACTACCACCCACACAACCAATCACATCACTACCACCCACACAACCAATCACATCACTACCACCCACACAACCAATCACATCACTACCACCCACACAACCAATCACATCACTACCACCCAGACAACCAATCACATCACTACCACCCAGACAACCAATCACATCACTACCACCCAGACAACCAATCACATCACTACCACCCAGACAACCAATCACATCACTACCACCCACACAACCAATCACTTCACTACCACCCACACAACCAATCACATCACTACCACCCAGACAGCCAATCACTTCACTACCACCCAGACAACCAATCACTTCACTACCACCCAGACAGCCAATCATATCACTACCACCCAGACAACCAATCACATCACTACCACCCACACAACCAATCACATCACTACCACCCAGACAACCAATCACATCACTACCACCCACACAACCAATCACTTCACTACCACCCACACAACCAATCACTTCACTACCACCCACACAACCAATCACATCACTACCACCCACACAACCAATCACATCACTACCACCCACACAACCAATCACTTCACTACCACCCAGACAACCAATCACATCACTACCACCCAGACAACCAATCACATCACTACCACCCACACAACCAATCACATCACTACCACCCAGACAACCAATCACTTCACTACCACCCAGACAACCAATCACATCACTACCACCCAGACAACCAATCACATCACTACCACCCAGACAACCAATCACATCACTACCACCCAGACAACCAATCACTTCACTACCACCCAGACAACCAATCACATCACTACCACCCAGACAACCAATCACATCACTACCACCCAGACAACCAATCACATCACTACCACCCAGACAACCAATCACATCACTACCACCCACACAACCAATCACTTCACTACCACCCAGACAACCAATCACATCACTACCACCCAGACAACCAATCACATCACTACCACCCCACACAACCAATCACATCACTACCACCCAGACAACCAATCACATCACTACCACCCACACAACCAATAACTTCACTACCACCCAGACAACCAATCACATCACTACCACCCAGACAACCAATCACATCACTACCACCCAGACAACCAATCACATCACTACCACCCAGACAACCAATCACATCACTACCACCCAGACAACCAATCACATCACTACCACCCAGACCACCAATCACATCACTACCACCCACACAACCAATCACTTCACTACCACCCAGACAACCAATCACATCACTACCACCCAGACAGCCAATCACATCACTACCACCCACACAACCAATCACATCACTACCACCCAGACAACCAATCACATCACTACCACCCAGACAACCAATCACATCACTACCACCCAGACCACCAATCACATCACTACCACCCACACAACCAATCACTTCACTACCACCCAGACAGCCAATCACATCACTACCACCCAGACAACCAATCACTTCACTACCACCCACACAACCAATCACTTCACTACCACCCAGACAGCCAATCACATCACTACCACCCAGACAACCAATCACTTCACTACCACTCACACAACCAATCACATCACTACCACCCACACAACCAATCACTTCACTACCACCCAGACAACCAATCACTTCACTACCACTCACACAACCAATCACATCACTACCACCCACACAACCAATCACATCACTACCACCCAGACAACCAATCACATCACTACCACCCAGACAACCAATCACATCACTACCACCCAGACAACCAATCACATCACTACCACCCAGACAACCAATCACATCACTACCACCCAGACAACCAATCACATCACTACCACCCAGACAACCAATCACATCACTACCACCCAGACAACCAATCACATCACTACCACCCAGACAACCAATCACATCACTACCACCCAGACAACCAATCACATCACTACCACCCACACAACCAATCACTTCACTACCACCCACACAACCAATCACATCACTACCACCCAGACAGCCAATCACTTCACTACCACCCAGACAACCAATCACTTCACTACCACCCAGACAGCCAATCATATCACTACCACCCAGACAACCAATCACATCACTACCACCCACACAACCAATCACATCACTACCACCCAGACAACCAATCACATCACTACCACCCACACAACCAATCACTTCACTACCACCCACACAACCAATCACTTCACTACCACCCACACAACCAATCACATCACTACCACCCACACAACCAATCACATCACTACCACCAACACAACCAATCACTTCACTACCACTCAGACAACCAATCACATCACTACCACCCAGACAACCAATCACATCACTACCACCCACACAACCAATCACATCACTACCACCCAGACAACCAATCACTTCACTACCACCCAGACAACCAATCACTTCACTACCACTCACACAACCAATCACATCACTACCACCCACACAACCAATCACATCACTACCACCCAGACAACCAATCACATCACTACCACCCAGACAACCAATCACATCACTACCACCCAGACAACCAATCACATCACTACCACCCAGACCACCAATCACATCACTACCACCCAGACAACCAATCACATCACTACCACCCAGACAACCAATCACTACCACCCAGACAACCAATCACATCACTACCACCCAGACACCAACACTCACTACCACCCAGACAACCAATCACATTCACTACCACCCACACAACCAATCACATCACTACCACCAGACAGCCAATCACTTCACTACCACCCAGACAACCAATCACTTCACTACCACCCAGACAGCCAATCATATCACTACCACCCAGACAACCAATCACATCACTACCACCCACACAACCAATCACATCACTACCACCCAGACAACCAATCACATCACTACCACCCACACAACCAATCACTTCACTACCACCCACACAACCAATCACTTCACTACCACCCACACAACCAATCACATCACTACCACCCCACACAACCAATCACATCACTACCACCCACACAACCAATCACTTCACTACCACTCAGACAACCAATCACATCACTACCACCCAGACAACCAATCACATCACTACCACCCACACAACCAATCACATCACTAACCACCCAGACAACCAATCACATCACTACCACCCAGACAACCAATCACTTCACTACCACCCACACAACCAATCACATCACTACCACCCAGACAGCCAATCACTTCACTACCACCCAGACAACCAATCACTTCACTACCACCCAGACAGCCAATCATATCACTACCACCCAGACAACCAATCACATCACTACCACCCACACAACCAATCACATCACTACCACCCAGACAACCAATCACATCACTACCACCCACACAAACCAATCACTTCACTACCACCCACCACAACCAATCACTTCACTACCACCCACACAACCAATCACATCACTACCACCCACACAACCACTCACATCACTACCACCCACACAACCAATCACTTCACTACCACCCAGACAACCAATCACATCACTACCACCCAGACAACCAATCACATCACTACCACCCACACAACCAATCACATCACTACCACCCAGACAACCAATCACTTCACTACCACCCAGACAACCAATCACATCACTACCACCCAGACAACCAATCAACATCAACTACCACCAAGACAAACTCAATCACTCACTACCCCAGACAACCAATCACTTCACTACCACCCAGACAACCAAT